GCCCGGGTGTTTTTTTTTTTTTTTTTCCTGCAACAGTTTGTCATTCGGCTTCATAGAAATTTCTGAATAAACTGAAGAACTGTTTTTTTTTTTTTTAATTTGTTTTGGTGTATGTCTTTCTAGTTGGGTTATTTCTTGCCAAAATTTCTAAATCTAAAATTTTTCTTGGTGTTGTATTTAGTAGTTTAGGGTAATAGCTTGTTAAATTACATGCAATTAAAAAAAATTAAAAAGTCCCAAAGAAAAAACTATAGCAAGACTTATTATTTTCCTATGTTTTGAATACATGGAATCGATCTTAATAGAAAAAAAAGAGAAAATGCCTCACAGACATGGCCGTAAGAAGAAATTCCTCAATTCAGATTACCTCTTCCTAGGACTCTAGTTTCTGTCAGGTTGACTAAAAACTAACCAACACCCTCATAAGCGGCTTTTTAAGGCATTTTTCTTTCAACAGCACAACTAAGAGATAAGCTGACTTGTTTATTTTTCTGAACTGCTCTAAGGGCATCTCCATGGGTCAGATGCTGGTTTTCCAGTCACTGAGATTGAAATCCCTTCTATTAAATAATGTTGGGGGGGGACAGCTGGAGAGATGGCTCAGCAGTTAAGAGCACTGTCTGCTCTTGCAGAGGACCTGGGTTTGATTCCCAGCACCCACATGGCAGCTAACAGCTGTCCACAACGCCAGTTTCAGGAGATCCGACACCCTCTTTTGATCTTCAGGGGCACTGCATGACAGGTGCACCTACCTACATGCAAGCAATACACTCATACACATAAAATAAAAATAATATGTCTACATAGTGAGTTCCAGGATAGCTGGGGCTACAGGGAGACCCTGTCTCAGAAAGACTAAAAAATTAATTAATTAAATAAAATACAAAAATATTGTCAAAGGGGGTTGCTTTGCAAAGATATGTGGGTGCATGTTCATGTATTAGGTGCACATGTGTGCGCAGGTACTCCTGTACATGAAGGCCAAAGACACCCTCATGACTTCAGGCAATGTTCGCCTTCTTTTGGGGGGCGGGGGGCAGAGTCACCGGCCTGGAACTCACCAAGTAGGCTAGGCTAGCTGGCCAGCAAGCTCCAGGGATCCACCCGCCTCTGCCTCCCTAGCACTGGGGTAACAAGCACACACCACCGTGCATAGCTTTTTTTCTAAATTAATTTTATTGATTTGAGCATTATGCAATGTTTTGAACATGATCAAGACATTGCAGAATGCTCAAATCAATAAAATTAATTGAAATTAAAATTGATCATACCACTCCCTTCTCCACCCTCCTCTTACTACCCCCTCACTTGGTTGGCCCCTACTGTCTTTTTTTAGAATTTCATATTGTATTTGCATTATTTCTATCACCACTGATCTGTGTTACCAAAGCAGTATTAATCCTCATGGCATAATTAATAAATACTGTAGTATCATGGACCTGTTTTTTTTAAAGATTTATTTATTTTTATTTTGTGTGTATGAGTGTTTTGCCTGCATGTATATGTGTACTACATGCATGCCTGGTGCCTAGGGAGGCCAGAGAAGGCACTGAATCTTCTGAAATGACTTACAGGTGGTCGTGAGCCACCATGTGGTGCTGACCACCACACCTGGCCTTAAAATGTAATTTTTTTAATTAAAAAAAAGATCACCAGGTATGGTAGCTCACATCTTTGATCCCAGACTCAGGAAGCAGAGGCAGGTGAGTTCCAGGTCAGTCTGGTCTACACAGCAAGTTCCAGGACAGCCAGTCTACATAGTGAGGCCCTTTCAACTGCCTCAGCACACTTCCTGTGTTTTCTGCCAGCTTGGAGTTCCTTACCACTTTGACCTCCATTTACATATATTCTGACAGGGTCCCCCATACATGATAAGAGGTCAGCTGCGGTTA